CTACCACTCGGAGCGTTGGTCACTCCCCAAGCAGAACACCCCGCCCGGCGGGAGATCTCTCCTTACCTCTTCAAAATCACAAATCCTCGCGAAAGAACATAAATTATACAGAATGATATTATGTGTGGCTATTGAAATAAAAAAAAAACATCCTAATTTAGATAATAGAGAAGTTGGCTGGGTACTACCATCTGCTTGGGATCCTGTAACTAATAAAATTAAAACTAAACCCAAGCATACCACTGCAAGACTTCAAGACACAGTAAGTTCATTCTGCGTAGATCAGACCAAAAGTAATAATTAAAAAGATGAAGGTACTCCGGGTTGACTTTGACATCGGGACGTCAATCACGTCAGTCCCCTGTGATATTGAAACGTATGGAAATGAAAAATAAGAAGAGTTAAACGCGATAAAATCCGTAAAAGTAGTATTCAATGTACAGTATTTATTACTATGACAATATTGTGATTTAATCATTTTTCTAATACTTGTGATAAGACCAGAAAGACGGAAATGGGCATATAATTATTTACACAGGAGTAATCATTAAGGGAGTTTTAGTGCTACAGGAAAGGTACCTGTTTTGTAACAGGTCAGATGTACGCATATGAAGTGCAGATGTATAGTTAGAGCTAGGGAATGCAATCCAAAAGATAATCTTGCAAATCCGCAAGATTGATACCATCAGTCCCGCGGACCCGCAAGTTTTGCAGGATTGTATAAGATTTTACAATTATTAGCCCACAACATTATTTTCTAAGTCAGTAAATGAAACAATAGAATTTACTTAGAAGAAACAAATAGTACAATTAAATTTTGATCAGAAATAATGACAAAAATCTAAATTATGTTAAAGTCTGAAAAAAATATCAATGAGATTCGGACACTTACTTCTTGAATTGTTTTCGGAGTATACATAAGGTGTTTAAAGTTTCATCTTTTACATTTGATCAGTGTAGTCAACAGCTGAAAATGCGCGTTCAGATTCAACGCTAATAGGTGTAACGGACTTAACAAAGTTGTAAGTTGCTTCCAGATACTTCCCTCTGTTTCCTCCACATTCAAAAAGACTCATTTCTCGTTATATTATAAGATTAAATGATACCGCCGTCTGTTGAGTAATTGAAAATGGTGTCCCCGCCCCGTAGAGAGAAATTCCCATTCACTCGTCACTCGACTCACACACATATACGTACTTCGATTTGGGGATCCCCTTGTTACGGTTCCCAGCTGCCCCGGCAAAAGTCGAATGGGCTAGGGCCCATAGTAGCCTCCTCGACGAGCAGGCGAGGGTTCGGGCCCAATGGCCTATGGATAATTCTAAATTAATGGAAAATAAGCAAGCACAACTTACCGAGTTCCAGAGGTAGGGTTGACCACAGGGTACCGTCAGGGGCAAGTGAGGTGTATGTAAATAGTGTGTAGTAGGGTATACATGTAACGTGACTTAACCGATGTAGTCGGACCGCAGATCCACAGGCGCTGCTTTTCTCCAAATGTGTGATCCCTCCAAGGGGCGTTCACCAATTGGAAGCCTCCTGCTTTTATTTCACTATATTAGTTTATCAACTTTATTGTATATTTAATTAACTTCAAATTTAACTAAATCCACGTTAATCGAAATCAAACCAGTGACACACGACACAAGTAAAGAACAGTCGGTCAAAGTTCAACGTTCCTTGTTCACTTAGCAACAAATTATAATCACGAGAACGAACGCGGTCTCTTCTCGAGTCACAAAGTTCAGCGTTCTCCCGACGAAGCAAAAATTTCTTCGTACGATATTAAAATGCCACACAAGCCACTCGTCGACTCAAATTAATGTCGATCAAAGTTAAGTTAATAATTCAAACTCAATACAAGATTTTTTTCACGAAACGTACAAATTAGACAAATCGATTCGAGGCGGTCTACACGAGACCCAAATCTTCGATAGTCAATTAGGCGCGCATAATTTACTCAAATTTTAGACCGTCAAAATCTACACCGACAAGGCCGCGGCGTTCAAGACACTGTCGCCGGCACACACGGCCGAAAGCCGGGGAGCGGCACACAGCTGCCCCCTCCCCCCGCGGCGTTTACGTCACCTCAATATCATCGGACGACGCGCCGAGGCAAGCGTTATTGGATGCAAATTTCAAATGCCCATATTTGGCCTAAACACCTCTATTATCGTGCATTCGTGCCGTACATGATTTTATGCGAATTCAGGCTAGAAAAAACAAAATCTTGCAAATCTTGCGGATCCTGCACGTGTTATCTCGCTTTTGTAATCTCGTTAATTTTACGCGGGATCCCGCATTTGCGGGATTACGGATCCGCGGGATTGCATTCCCTAGTTGGAGCTATCTCCTATTACATTTAATTGATATATTTGGTTGTCATATTGTACCATCCCGGGGCACTATCAGATTTTAAATTCATAATTACAGAAATTATTCCTCGTTCAATAAAACAAAGGAATGATCTTTAACAGGGTAATGATATAATTTTTTGATGATTTTTTTTCTCTCGATCTAGACAGTGTTTAATAGACGTGCCGACAATTATATTCCAGAGGTTAATTTGAAAATCAATAATATTACAATAAATGCCTAATGTCTGTTTTGTTTATATGGTATAAATTATTAGCTTTAGTTATATCACATGCCATGAGCTAATTTATGTAACTAAAGACCTTATCTAAAGTATGTAAATGATTACTTTTTAGATGATATATATGTCACTAGAACCATAAATTCCTTTAAAAACCACTATACAGTGTTAATGGGAAGACTTCAATGCAAAACTGAACACTAGAACTGAAACAAAAATAGCTGGCCTACTTTTTGCAGAAGAAAAGACACTTCATGGACAATGGTCAAAGGAATGGAATGGTCAAGCCCCAAAAGCTGGATAATAAATTTGATCGACTTAATTATAAGCACTAGACAGAAACTGTGCAGTGATGTCTGATTGATTGCGAGGGTGAAACCTGTAAGCGATCACCGAATGGTAAGAGGCACACTGAACGTTAACGTTAAGTTGATGAGGTAACGTCTCTTGCAGTCAACGCTCCGTTCCCCTTGTGAAAACCAAAAACTTCTGAGCTCGTATCACAAAATCGTTTTCAGTGCTAGGAGATTACAATGCAATGGACAATATAAATGACAAACTATTGGTACTGTTCATGCGGTTTTCCGGCAAGGACAGCCAACTATTTAATTTTAAGACTGACTATGGCAGGGTCGTTTCCGTGACACCTAGAGATTTTGAGTGAGATTTAAAAATTCTACAGACAGATTTACAAAAAAAGTCTCATCCGACACTATTTCAGCATTACTATTCATAGAATGATGGAATAACAGCGACGCTTCTGAAAACGGGTGGATAAATAGTACTTGGCACTACATCGGAGTTGTGGAATTGAAACGCGGTGGTCTTGTTCTTCAAGTAAGATGTCAACGATCTATTAAAGGACTGCAGACTGGTTTCTCTTCCGAGCCGCGTCTGGTTTTCCGACGAATCGGCTCGCGCTTAGATAGACTTGACGACTTCTAGCCTGTCGAACTAGCCGGCTACCGAAAAGGTTTTAGTACATACTACTTACATATTTTAGTATATACTACATACATATACCCTTCAGCAAAGTATGGCCGATAGAAATCGAACACTTTAAAAATTTCTTTGCCGCAAAATGGACTAATCGACAATATTAAATTACTTCGACGACACTTGGCTTCTTTATAAAAAAAATTTATTGCTTACTATAACCTATTTTAATTATTCGTGTGTTCTTACTGTGGCAGCGTTAAGAGATTACGACGTATCATCTAGTCACGTATACTTCAAAAGTTGAAAACAAGAGTGTACAAGCAGTGCGTGTGCGTATGGATTTTAGACGTGGTCCTTCACTGCATGCCGTATGAGGAAGGTCAAGGTCACTCAGTGAGCTATGGAGAGATCTGTGCTAGAAAGTTTTTCTGGGTGATAGACTTCGTAGTGAGGATATCCGCAATAGAACTAAAATAGCCAACATAGTTCAACAGCTGGTCTGTTGAACTATGTCGGCTTTATTATACGTGGTAGAGCCATGGTGTAGCACGTTGTAGCACTAATGGGTCGGCTCGACCGGGGGAGGACCACGCTCTCACAGAATACCAGCGTAAAATAGCAGCTTAACGCTGCTGTGTTTCGTATGGTGAGTGTAGAGAACCGAAGACCCTTTTTACTGGAAACGAGGCATTCCATCTTAGTCCTCACGGGTGACAACGCATCTGCATTTTGACTCTTAATCGAAGATAGATGTAGATGTCTAAGGGCCACAGCGACCACTTACCATCAGGTGGACTGTGTGCTCGTTTGTCACCCTTATCCTATATAAAAAAAAACTATGTCGGTTACTTTGGTTCAGTTGAAGTTGGAATAGACGGCCATAAACGGCTCGTCGTTGAAATAGACAAATAATGGGGAGGAAAGGTTCTTGAATGGCAGCCTTGTACAAGTAAACGATGCAGGAAGTCGATGAATGAAGGCTCAGCACCATGTTTTGTATATTTCTTGGGGAAGGCCTTGGGTCAGCAGTGGACTTGGGATGGGGTGTAATGATGGAGATGATAATGATTTATAACTAATCAACGGAAATAATATTATGTAGCTTACCACAAACCTTTATGCAGACAATTCTTAGGTTTCCAAACAGTGTAAATACGTCCAAAAAAACTACACAGATGCCTTTACATTGATCAAGGCAGCGAATGGGTTAACTTCACTATTAAAAATATATGCAAAAGTAACAAAAATAACCACTTTATGTAAACTGTATTGTTATAATTGAAAGAATTATGAAAGAAACTGATAGAACAATTTGGGATGTGCAAGCGGGATTTAGAAAGTGAATGGTGTGTACGGTTCAAGTATTTTCTATACGCATGATCGCGGAGAAGACTTTGGCAAAAAAAAAGAAGTCCGTAGTCTCTGCCTGTCTCTTGGTGACAGGCGTGAGTGTTTATTTACTTACCAAATCTTGGCGGGTCCAGAGTGCATATATTCAATCCAAGGCAGGCCGTGGGGATCTCGGTGCCAGCAGCTAGTTGAAAACACCATGCCAAGGTGTAGTGTCGGTACAGTGACACCCATTACGGAACCCAAATATCTCAGAGCGTTGCCGGCATTACCACTTAACACCTGTTGAAAAATAATAAATTGTAAAATAAGTATTACGCACTTATATTGATACTGCTACAGCTAAACCTTTAAAAAAGTATTAATTAAAGTTTTTGATATTTAATACAATTTAGCATTAAAACGAAAAAATTGTTTAACTTTTAGAATAATAACGCCCAGAAACCGAGTAGGAGCACAAAAGTAGACAGTTACAAGTTAGCAAGGTAAACGTTTTGTCGAACATAGCCCGCAAGAATAATAAGAGCAATTATACACAATATACAAGACACAATATACCTAAAGAAACTATTGTCAACATAAAAATTAATGATCGAAGATGCATAGATAATCCTAGAAAAATAGGTAACGCGTTTATACAATTATTTTATTGAAAAAGTCAATCCCCTTCCGGATGTCGGGAAAAAGGTAAATACTACAATTAAACACCAATTAAATTCAATGTTTCTTGCACCAAGTTCACCATACCAAATAAATAAGATTATAAAAAGGTAGATAATTAAAATATATAATAATGTTCCAAATAACCTCAAAAATATTGACAACAATAAGTCTTTTATAAAAAAATTAAAGTCATTCTTAATCGATAAAAGTTATTATAATTTAATTTAATTTTTATTGATGCGAATAAATAGTAAATGTATGTGTAATAATTATAAAAAAAAAATATGTTAGACTAGCAAATGTTAAGAAATAAGTTAGTTGGTATTTAGTACGTAGTATATTTAGTATAACAAAATAAAAAAAAAACTACCCTCTTATAAATTCCTATGCCCTTATGGGGCGTCACTTGATGTATGATCTATTTCTTGTGGCATGCAAATTATATAAATAAATAAATTCATACATTTTATATTATGATACAGCGGCGGTTGGCTTATAGACGGGGGAATCGATACAATATGTTCGTGCAATACAACAGTGCATTTTCCCACATTTTTAAAGACCTGGCGATAGTAATAATGAAAGCAACAGCACGCTAATATAACATCGTAACACGATAACGCTGATATTTTATCCTAAGCGCGGTTTCTGTGCGTAATTGTTCTTAAGTTTCGGCTATAATTAAATAAAAATACCTTCAGGTTCCACGGGTGTTTCCCAATAATATCTCGATGATTTTTTGTAAATCCATATCCTTTTACTCCAGTATCTATTGACGCAGTATTGATACACACGTGATCTTTGGATAGAAGGACAAATTTCCAATATGCGTTCTCTACTTCCTGTGTAGTAGGGTTAGGTGTGGTAAAATATGTCTTCATTACTTTATTCGCGACCTAGAATTAAAAAAATCAAATTGAGTTTCGTTTAAATATTTTTAAGCGTGGAAAAAGATTTTGATCAAATAGCTGTGACATAGTTGAAAAAATTAACTATTCAAAATATACTAAGTATCAATGAATTTACTCCCAACCTAACCTCTCAACCGTCCACGCCGCGCTAGTGACACTCCCAACTGTTTTTATTATAATAAAGTGATAAATTAGAAATTATTTTAGATACTCAAATTAATTAATGTAATGACACTTCATTACATTAATTAATTTGAGTATCTAAAATAATAATTTATTATGTAACGATAACACAGTCTTTGCTCGGTGGCCACTACATTTCCGATGAGATGCAGCACTTCTCTGCATCCTATCCTTAACAAGAGGTCTGCTTCTCTTCTTTGGATCCACCGAGCTGCGCGGATGTTTTATCCAATGTGCCGCGTCATGCGATGGAGCATATTATCCCTATTAACGACGTACTCTTTATTACTAATGATATTTTTGCTCATTTTCAAGAATTACTTTGTCCGATAATTGTTGGTCGTCCCAGAAGAATAATAAAGATACAGCATATTTTTTTTAATCTAAGAGCGATAAAACATGCGACAAACCATCCACCTGATGTAATCAGCCACTTGCCGTAAAATTATTTCTCACTTGCTGCCTAGGACGGGAGAGGTTGCGTCAGAGAATTATATAAATGGGTAGCGGTTTTGACACGCTGCTCACTCGGAGTCTATTTTTCCTGCTGACACCTCAGTTAGAGGTGAAACACGTGTCGTACAATCGACGGTAGTGTGTCTTTCCTTGTGTAGTGATGATGAGGATAGTGCATGCAATTGTAGGAGGGCGAGAGATGCTCTTTAAAATAGACCTTAGTTAGCCTTGTTCGGACCTCAGCTAAATAATTTTAACATTTTTAACATTATGGATTTGCTCAAAGGAAAGCTTAATTCTATTAATTATAAATAAATAAATTAAAATACATTAAACTAGAGACTTTTTCATTATAGTGAGTCTTTACTCTTTTTACAGCGAACAGCTAATGAATATATGTGTGGCATAAATGCACACAGGTATCGGTGTGCATTTATGCCACACGTTTATGAATTATCGGGACGATTCTGTGGAGAGTGGACTTACGTAGTACCGACATGTCGTCGTCGATAACTTGCGACGGCATAATGGTATCGTGTCGGATAATTAGAAACCATCATAGTAGGTAGCTTTATACAGTTCAGTAACCCGATATAGGGGAACATGTATCGCTCAATGAAAAAAAGTGCTCTTACATTTACGTGTAACGAAATTTGGTATTGGTAAGGCCTTTCGCACATTATAAGACACGGACACTAGTCAATAATAATGTCTTGTCTGGTTTATCGTACACATTCATGCAGGACGTCTTATCATCTATCTGTAATTATAATTCACGGAGGATACACGGATACCAAATGGACGGACACCAGTGTTTAATAGTGATTGCATTCTTGTACTATAGAAGAAAATGACGTAGGTGCAGGCGTCATTGGATACATCCATTAAATATGAGTAGAATCAATGATGGAGCGTATACGAAGTTGGTAACTTTACCAATGGAAGTTAACTTTGCCAGTCATCAGCACTACCTAATTGTACTAAATAGTTTTAAGTTGTCTTACAAGTGAAATTTTGTAATTTCTTTAGACAATAAATTTGTTTAAACCTATTGGTATGGTCTGCAAAGATTCTCTGTGAATCCGTTGTTATTGCTTTGGAATAAAGTCTGATTTTATGTAATATTAAAATGCGTTTGTATTTATTGAAATTTGTATGACCAATAAGCTAATTGGATTTCTAGTAGTGATAATACGAATTAACCACTTGCATGTGTGCAACCGGCGACACCAGTTCTCTTACAAAAAAAGGTTGGCAGCCATTATATTGTGTATTATAGTATTCTATGCGTATAACGACCAATGCGACTGAATTTCTTATAACAAACACATTTCTCATAAGACACAAGAAATTTTCTTATAATGTGCAAAAGGCCTAATACTACTCACTTGTCACTTTAATTCGTTCGTTATCAAATAAATTATGAGCTGAAATGACGTAGTTACGGTGTATTCACTACTACGATGTTCTCTAATGCCCGAATACTGAAACATCCCTCAAATATTTAACGGCTTGTCAAACATTTGAGCAGCTCCTAAACCCTATATTCGTATTCTCATATTTAAATTTTAAGTATCTCTTAAATTTAGGTGTGTCTCCAATTGAGTTGCGCTTAAACACTACTCAACTAAAAAATGGTATACTGAAACATCACTCAACGCGTTTTAGCTGTCAAATCAAATGTCAAATTGATTTAAGTACTCGTTATTATTGAGTGTGGTAGCGAGGACTCTCAAATCTGTTAAAAGTATTTTTCAAGTTTTAAATATGTCCGTTTCGTCGTTATCTTCTCTTTCGGACAACGAAACGCCTCTAAGAAGTCGAAGAAATGATATCAAGCTTAACGCTTTCAAAAATATGACGATAAAGAATTTCGTGCGCGGTTATATTCCACATCGAGCAACCGTCTGTGCATCGAATCGTGCACAGAGTTACAGAAAAAATAGCGAATATGAGATCTCTTTTTATAAATATGCCAACTGCTGACGAACGTCTAGAAGTAGCAAATGACTTTTATGCAATTGCTGGATTTCCAAGAGTGATGGGTGCTATTGACTGTACGCACATTAAAATTAATTCTCCAGGTACATATTCTAATGATAAGCTATACTTCTACTCCTACATTATCATATCTATTATTAATATGTTATATACATACACTCATTGTTATTAAATATTTGCAGGGGGAGCTCAATCTGAAAGTTTCCGAAATAGAAAAGGTTACTTCTCCTTGAATGTGCAAATGGTATGTGATGCGAAATTGCGCATATGAAATATCATTGCAAGATGGCCAGGTTCTGTACATGATAGTACAATTTTTAACGACTCACCATTGTGTGCCCAATTAGAGAGAGAGGAGATTTTACCCCTATGGTACTTCTGGGCGATAGTGGTTATCCATGTCGCCCCTATTTATTAACCCCAATTTTAAATCCAAGGACACCAGCTGAAGAAGCATATAACCGTTCACAAATTAGAACCAGAAATCCAATAGAATTCAACTAATCAAGCCCTCAAATCACTTGAGTGATGTTTCTGTATTTCAGTTAAATTTGAGTGATGCTTAAGTATAGGGGACCTTTAATAAAGTGACAGATTTAAGTTGCGTTTCAGTATTCGGGCATAAGTTACTTGTTAATTGTGCTAGAACGTAAATTTTGTAAATATTGGTCAATTTAATAATACTACTTATACAAATCGACGGCCCCTAACAACATTTTTTAAATTATTTTTTTTGATAAATAGTGTCTATATAAAACAAACTTTAACCCAACAAAAAGTTTATACCTGCAGTAATTATTTAGATAAATAGGCGTAGAATCAGACAACTAGCAAGATTTTTCTGGTTTGTACGATGTGAACACGGTCAAGTTAACTTCTCCCTATCTAAATGGGAGAGCGCACACCCATCGCTCCGCAAAAGACAGCTCCACTTCTCTCTCTCTCTCTCTCTCTCTCTCTCTCTCTCTCTCTCCCTTTAACAAACAGTGGACCGGTCGGTGCCTATTTTTGAAGTTTTTTTAAGTGATATTTGATTTAAGTGTCAAACCTTTATTGTTTTTTATTACATTAGTTATCGAATATCGTATAAAAAATCCATGAAATAAATATTAAATCTAGAAATACGCGAAAAATAACATGATGTTTCGAACAGTGTGGATTTGTTATAACTAAAATGATAGCTCAGTCCGCAGAAGGTGAGTGTCTTTATGAATATTTTTTTAACTATTTAGTTTTAGGATTATTCCAATCAACAATAACTACATTTCAATCAGATTAAACGTTTAGATTATCCGATATATAAGTTTTCTTTGTTAGTCTATGTTATATTTGATTATGGGATCATATCGATTGACAGTTTCCCAATCATTATGATTGTCTTATTATTTATTTGTAATAACTATGATATTTGTTAAGTGCAGAATCGGAAATCGACGAGCAGCCTTATAATTTTCTTGAAGGTGATGAACAAGTATCCGATAGCGACAGAACAAGTTTCGAATTTTTGGACGTAGGTACATTTATAATAGCTGAAGAAACTAACTCTCAAGCAAATTATGCGTTTTAAACGTAATAATATTAATCTGAAATAAGCTCTATCTTTCTCGCTAATACCTGCTCAAAGCGGCGGAAATGCTATAAATAAACCCTAATCTAAATTGCACCCCCAACCCTTAAGAGCGTAGTCGGTCTGCGCGGGAATTGAGAAATAGGTATTTGAAGAAACTATTGCCGTCGCACTAGCTATCACTCTTGACGGACACTTCTGAAAACATAGATATTAGCAGTTATCATAGAGATTCTGAGGTTATGTTTTATTTTTATGAAACATTACTATGTTAATGCTTATGTAAGCAGTTCAGTCTTAGCCTTGCACTTATAACGTAAATAAAACTCAGCTTGTGATTAGGTAAACTTATTTACCTAATCACAATATGTTCATGTTTATTTATACGAGTCCACAAACGCAGCACATTAGTATTAAAAATAGGTACAACGTTCAAAATCTAAAAAATCCTTTTATTTTGATTTCACAATTCAGAAGTGTCCGTTACTATCTATTTAATGTTATCTAATGCATAATTAGAATTTTGGTAATTGTCAAAAATATATGTTGGTTTTTAAGCGAGTTTTAACAATGTCCTTTAAAGGAAGAATAGATCTATGCTCCTATCACTTGTTTTTATCTTATAAACTTTTCAAACTTCTTTGGTAGTCGTCTGATTAAGGAGGTAAAAACGGGGCATAGATTTTTGGAAAGTCATATTTATTTTTGTTATAATTTTTTGGAAAAAAATAAATGACAGGGGCATGCCTTCAATAGACCTAGATTTTTATAAACAAAAACGATTACTATGTATTCCTATATTATCTTCCTGGATAATGCCTCTAGCATTATCTAGGAAGAGAATATGGGAATACATTTGTATGGAAAAAATGCAGCCCGTCGACGCTCTTAAAACAAATTCGCTACTCTCTGCTCTGTTTTTAAACAAATCATCTGTTGGACAGTAATTGACACCATCACAACCTATGACGAACAATTTATTTAAGGAAAGATCGAGAGCTTAATGATTTTTAATTATTTATTTATTTATTTATTTCCAACTATACAATTATCATTACAGGTTTATTACCTAATGCGATAATGAAGACAACTATTTTTTACAAACTACAATTACAATTACACAACTATTATATTGATCATATGTACTTATTTCTATTACAAACACCATATTTATGTCACAGTAGGACCATAACTTATTTCAAAGAGAGCTCTCGCTATGAACCCATCCAGAGTACAACAAAATAGATCAATGTCTTCTGCTATACGGTTGAGGATATGGAGTGTGCGCGTAAACGGCGCCTCATTTACCAACTTGGTGCGGCCGCGCGGCACAGCCAGCAGCCGCGGCCGCCGCGGCCGCCGCCGCCGCCATACGTATCTGTCCGGAACACATATGCGCACTTGTTGCAATACGTCTAGATTGTGAATTTTTCCCCTCATCACCTTAAAGATATATAAGACTAGCGCTAAATTCCTTCTAGCTTTTAGCTCGTAGTATACTACCATACCTAAGGTGATTATAATCGTTATGACGCAACACAATCCAAAATCAGTGTTTTTCTGGAGAAGAAAATAATGAGACTTGTGTTTGGTAAATCCTGTACCCGATACAGGCTTAATATTGCAAGCACCTTTGGAGTCTAAGAAGTGGATCGTCTCATAGTATAGGATTGATTGCTCTGCACCATTTAATAGAATCGGTAGAAAGAAAAGAAAGACGCATATAATAGACACTCAGAAAAGGTTAAAGAAGACAAGTTAAGAAAGATAACTGGATAATATACGAGAAGAAAAATACTGTTAAATCATGGTTAGAAAAACTTATCAAAGAACTGAAATGAATAAACTCAAAAAAACTTCTTAAAATTAACTCAAACTTTACGGGCAAGAAACGCAACATCTCGTACTTTAAGAAGGTAGGTACAGTAAGTTTTTAATATTATGTAATAATTTTTTTTATAATAAGTGTAATAAATCCTAAAAATGTTCATATTTTTTAATTAAAGAAGATTATATCTTTAATTCTCTCTTACGATTTTTTTATTCCATTGTTACGCCAAATATATATTTTTTTCTAATATATTAAAACTATGTTTTGTATGTTTGTTAAATCTTTATAATTTTTTTATTAATAATAAATATTATTCTAAATATGCCTTATATTGAGTTTTGGTTTACTTTACATCCAACAGTTTAGGCATATAACTTCTTATACGGCAATAATATTATAACGGAAAATGAGATATATGAAAGGTAAGTAAACTTCGATCTGACCGGAAGTTTTATACTATAGAGCTAAGAACTAAATCTATATTTATGAATACTTATCGCTAAAAAACACAGGAATGGCGATATTCTTTAACGATAAACATCGATGTACAACCGGATAAGTGGTAAATGTCTTCTAATACTTAGTTATTATACAAATATGAAACAATCTGTTCAAAAGCAAAGATTATATTTAACTCTTAAGCTTCAAACCGCCGCGCCGTCCTATAAAACTCACTTTTTGCAGTTGTCCGTATGTACTTAGGGGCAGTCGAAATTTTAGACATACCAACACATTATAGACAAAAAAATCATTGATGATGTTTCGTTTATTTATAGTTCGCAATATCTAGACTGAATTAATTACCTTTTTGAATGTAGCCAAATTCATATGTCTGCCTGGGAGAATACAATCGTCGAACCCAAAGAAGGCTCCAGTAACATTCAAATCATCGACATCTTCTTCTTCAGACGATTCCGATTCACCCAAAATACGTTTTTGACTGTGCAAGGGATTTAATGCTCTATCAAGCATCCTTTTATTTTTCTTATTCCAGTAAACTTCTACGACTTTCATCATTTCTAGACGTTCTTCTGTAAATGTTACAATAATTTGTTAATACTCTATTAGCAAAGTATTTATATTAGCCATCCATTCCATTCTATTACAACATATCAGTCATCTGCTGAACATAGGCCTCCTCGTTCGCCTATATTCAGCAGATAACGATGACTTCGAGGCGGGGTGGCCACCGCAGTTTTTTTGAGTTGTTATTAGCAAGATTGCTCTTACTACGGGACAGTATGCGGATATTATTTTTATAATGTTAATACATTGGTAATGGACAATAAGATATAATTTTGTATAACGCCTTAGGTCTACTATTTTAAAATAGTTGAAAGTAGTTTTTGTAATTTGTAGTGTTAAAGATAACGTTGAGCATTATATATTGACATATTATGTATTTTTTAGATCAAGCCTCTTTTGTAATGTTCCTATACTTTTGCTACTTAGGCACAGACAGGAAGAATAAAGGAAGAATATAATCGTCATATGAAAAATATTTCACTTTATGATTGTTTCAGTTCAAGCAGCATTTCGATTTAGAATAACTACAGTCTTGTGACTACTTTGAAATAGGAAAGTCACATCAACGTGCGTCTAAGGACAGACTAATTGTATCAAATGGAGTAAAGGTTTTTAACAGTGGTAGAGCCACTCGGCAGCTTTTGCTATCCCACGGATGGGCCGGCTCGAACCGGGGTGGTACCACGACCTCATAGAATACCAGCATGAAGTAGAGGTTACCTCTGCGTTTCGCTTGGTGAGTGCAGGTGGCCGGAGGCCCTTTTTACTGGAAATGATGCATTCCATCTTAGTCCTCACGGGTGGCAACGCATCTGCATTTTGATTCGCAAACGAGGATAGATGTAGATGTCTATGGGCCGCAGCAACCACTTATCATCAGGTGGACTGTGTGCTCGTTTGTCACCCTTATCCTATAAAAAAAGGTAAAATAAATAAAACTCCTATGACAATTTAATATTACTTGTTACTTGTATACATGTGGTATTATTTATAAGTATTACTAAATGTTGTCTGTTCAGAACAGGCAGGCAGGAGATGGGCAACAGCATCTTCCTGATAACATCAAAATTACAATAAAAAAACTGCGGTTGCCAACCCGCCCGCCAAGCGTGACAACTATGGCAAATACCCCCCAATGATGAGAGCAACAAAGAGACGGCCCCGCTATTCCTGGGTACGGTGGCGACCATGGTAACGGCGGGGCAGGGGGTGCTAAGAATCTTCGTTGGAGGTTCGGTTGCCACCTAAATCTGAACGCACATTTGTCCTCGCCGCACGCGCCGTACGCGCCGAGTTTTACTGATGGCCTCGCACATTTGCCCGTACGCATCCTCCGCGTCGTACGCAAATCTTATGTATTACCGACAACTTTTGTAGTTTTTTTCCAACCACTGGTGTGAAACGGTACAGTGAAATTGATTGCTCTAAATCACTATGGAAAGAAATATAATAATAGCCTGCGTTTTGGCAGAGGAAGAAGAAAATAAAATTCGAAGAAAAAGAAGATTCTGGATTCATAATATTAATTTAAAAAGGCAATTGTATGGAGAATATGAAGGGGATAATATACTTTATTTAAAGACTTATTAGATGATGATGAACGATTTATTTGGATATTTGCATTTAAAATACAAGAAATTTCAAGAATTGCTACATATACTAAATACTACTACTACTATACTTTTTTAATTAAATTTAACTATTTTTTATTAGTTTAGTATTGACATAATTTATCGCTAAGTCTACATATTGATAATCGATGCAAAAAATTCAAATTATGTATAAATAATTAAGAATGAATTAAAAGTTATAAAAATACAAAAATTATCATGTAAGTCGAAACCACCAGTTATAGTGGAAAATCCACTAAGTTGGCAACATTACACAACACTGAGTATCAGCACGCGCCGCGTTATTGACGTCATCAGCATTCGTCCTTCGATATCGTATACCTACCGCATTTTATAAAATTCGGCGCGTACGGTGCGGGTGTAATGTGCGAGGTTTCATATGATTTCATACAAGTAATCTAAAATTCGGCGCGTACGGCGCGTATGGTGCGGACAAATGTGCGTTCAGCTTAAGACGACTCGACCTGGCAACATACAACGCACGCACCCTGAGAACTGACGAGAAAGTCGTGGAGCTGGAAGAAGAGGTCTGGTTATCCGAGGTCCGAAGAGAGGAGGAGGAGAACACAGTAATCCTCGAATCCGGCAACTTGCTCTATCACCGGGTAGGCGACCATCTGTCCCAAGGAGGTGTCGGATTTATCGTCCACAAGTGTCTCGTTAACAACGTTGTAAAGATTGAGAGTGTGTCGACGAGGGTTGCGTACCTTATACTCAGAATCACCAAACGGTATTCGCTGAAGGTCATACAGGTTTACGCACCAACCTCGGCACATCCCGATGAGGAGGTGGAGGAAATGTATGAGGATATCTTTAGAGCCATGCATTCCTCCAAAACCCAGTATACGGTGTTAATGGGAGACTTCAATGCAAAACTAGGCACAAGAGAGAACGGTGAGCTGAAAGTAGAGAAATTTGGAATAGGCCAACGGAACCCAAGGGGCCAGCAGCTGGCCGACTTCATGGAGAAAGAGGGACTCTTTATGATGAACTCTTTCTTCCAGAAGCGACCCCACAGGAAGTTAACCTGGTCGAGCCCCGACTGTTCGAGAAAAAATGAGATTGACTTCATTATGACGACGAGACGACAACTGTTCAGTGATGTCTCCGTGATCGCGAGAGTGAAAACTGGTAGCGATCACCGAATGGTTAGAGGCACACTGAACCTAAACGTTAAGTTGGAAAGGTCTCGTCTAATGAAGTCAACGCTCCGTCCCCTTTTGCTCTGTTCCAAACACCCGAAACCTTTCAACTCAAGTTACAAAACCGTTTTCAGTGCCTAGAAGACTGCAATGAAGTGGACGATATGAATGACAAGCTCGTGAAAACTGTTCATGCGGTTGGAGCTAAGTTCTGCAAGACCACAAACCGCAGAAGAACACAAAAACTCTCCGATCACACTCTTAATCTCATGGCTGTTAGACGGGAGATGAAGCTACGCTCTTCAATAGATTTGACAGCATACGGGCAACTGAACAGACAGATCTCCAAAAGCATGCGGCGTAACTTACGCAACTTCAATACAGCTTGTATTGAAGAAGCGATCGAGCGGAACCAAGGCTCCAAAGTCTTTGCCAGAGATCTTTCTGCCAGAAAGAGCCAACTGCTAAAGCTGAAGACCGAGTGTGGCAGCATCGTTTCCGGAACACCTCAGATTTTGAGTGAGATTGAGAGGTTCTATGGGCAGCTGTATACATCATCGTTGGATCCACACAAGTGTTAGTAACGATCCAAGAGTGAGTCTTATCCGACTCTCCAACACCTTAAAAACGGCAAGGCCCCATGCGAGGATGGAATTACAGCGGAGCTTCTGAAAGCGGGTGGAAAACCGGTACTTGAAGTCCTTCAAAAGCTCTTTAATTCCGTCCTCCATGGTGGCATGACACCGGAGGCGTGGAGCAAAAGTGCGGTGGTCTTGTTCTTCAAGAAAGGCGACAACGCTCTCTTGAAGAACTACAGATTACCATTTTGATACCGATTTCCCTTCTGAGCCGCGTCTACGTGCTGTTTTCGAGTCATTACGAATCGTCTCGCACGCAGACTTGACGACTTCCCGAAGCTCTTCACGCTGCATTGGAAGACGTTTTCAAGCTACTGGACTGGAAAGGATATGGTATTAACATCAATGGCGAGTACATCACTCACCTTCGATTTGCCGAGAATATAGTCCTTATGGCAGAATCGCTGGAGGACTTAAGCACTACGCTCAATGACCTCAATAGCGTCTTCCAACGGATAGGTCTTAAGATGAACATGGACAAAACAAAAATCATGTTTAACGTCCATGTCACACCTATGCCGGTAGTTGTTGGGAGCACTAAGCTTGAAGTTGTTGAAGAGTATGTTTACCTGGGACAAATAGTCAGATTAGGTAAGTCCAACTTCGACCGAGAGGTCAATCGGCGGATTCAACTCGGCTGGGCAGCGTTCGGGAAACTACGACCCATCTTCTCGTCAGGTATACCTCAAAACCTTAAAACAAAATTGTACAACCAGTGCGTGTTGCCAGTGATGACTTACGGATCTGAGACGTGGTCTTTCACTGCTGGCCGTATGAGGAAGCTCAAGGTCGCTCAGCGAGCTATGGAGAGGGCTATGCTCGGGGTTTCTCTGCGTGATAAACTTAGAAATGAGGATATCCGCAGTAGAACCAGAGTAACCGACATAGCCCAACGGAGGAACGGACAACCGATAGGGAAGAAAGGTTCTCGAGTGGCAGCCTCGTACCGGTAGGCGAAGTGTAGAGCGACTCCCCACTAGATGAGTGACGACCTGGTAAGACATACAGGAAGTCGATGGATGCAGGTGGCTCAAGACCGTGCTTGGCATTCCTTGGGGGAGGCCTATGTTCAGCAGTGGACTTATGAAAGGCTGTAATGATGATGATGATTACTAAATGTGACGCGTATATAAAACAGTTATTTCAGAATGTATAGTCTTTTTAGAAATTCTAAACATGACTTTTTTGCTGTTAAAGCTAGTAAAAAATTTACTTACAAATAAATAAATAGTTATACAAATTTGACTTACTGTTAGACAGTGTATCATAGGGTAAAATATATTTAACATATATTAAATCTAATTTCTTCTCAATGTTCGGAGATTTGGTAAGTTGCATTTCTTCGGCTACACGACTCCAACGTTTCTTTTCTATGACTTTCTTGAGACCACCGCACCGTTGCACGAGTTCGTATAATTTTGGAAGACTTACTTCGATGCCGTCGAGCTAGGTAAAAAACACATTATTATTATAATTGCAAAAATAAATCAGTCTATCTGTTTTAACATAGTACCTAGAGCACTGAATCGATCGTAATGAAATTTGGAGAGGTTTTGTACTTAAAAAACACATTCGAATTGTTTTCAAACTCATATTTACATCATAATATTGTACCAAACAAAAAACTAGACAGCGCTTTTAATTGCTTTTAAATCATTTAATGATACAAAATAAATACCACATTAACTTTTTATCATATCAATAATAATGTTACCATAATAGTGTTAGTGATTTTTGAACAAGTAACTTATAAATTTGACATTCAGATTTTGAGTGAACTTTAGTCTTTATTTATTTTTGACAAAAGTAGTTCTCAAAGAAATTTGAATATAAATATTTCTCAAAAGTAGCGCTACCTTATCTGTAATTAAATTATGCAAAGCAAAAAATTAATAATAAGCAATTCCTTTACATGTACCTATATGTTCAATTGGTTTCTCGGAAACGGCTATAATAACTTGGATAAAATTTTGTATTTAGTTAAGGTTTACTTTGCAAGTTGATCTAGATAGGTATCATCATTGAGAAAATATTTTTTATTTACTACTTTAGTACTTTTAATTTAATAAAGGATTAAAATTAGTTAAAATTAAAAGCGATTAAATACATAAAATTAGTTTCATACAACACCTATTTTTTTTTAAGTGAATGGGAATTAAACGTTAATGTAAAATAGCAGATAATATTTACCAATGGTGATCTCGTGAATACTACACTTTGCGTAGCTAAGTATGCTTTCATAGCGCACATTTCTCTCGAAGCCGGACCCCAACGGGTATAAAAACGTGAAATATATTGGTTAGTCACACCAAATCTCATTTCATCTTTTAAAACACACTGCGATTTGAATGTCTCTGGTGCTACAATCTTACATAATCCGAATTTAGCTGCGGTTGGCTTGATTTCATTGAAGTATGCAATCGGATCCTGTTAAACAAACAATAAATAGTTTAATAGAACTCAAATCGTAAATTTAAAGTGGTTGGGATATTTATTTAACTTTTTTACCGTAAACTGAGCCTCAGTTGGGTAAAAAATTGGTGCGTCGACTTGTTGAGCCTTGCTATTATGACGGGGAAAGGCTGCTTTTGGTTTCTCGGCTTGATGGCCTCCTCTATCTCTAGTATCAAAATTGTTTGAAGTCTGCACTGTAACAACTGGTTCTGGATTAGGTCCTCTCGACGTACTCGGAATCGCACCGTCGTCGTTATTAATTACTGAATGACTCGTCTGTTCTATTGCATTCGATAAACTTCTAACCAGTGTATTGAGAGGTAGTTTATCCATTTGTCCAAGAATTGAATAAAAAATATTAGAATCTGTGGCTGAATTTAACTTTGTTATTACTATATCTGGAGATCTAGGAATTTTGTTTGCACTCACTGTAAATTTTTTTTTATGCTCTTGCCAAGACAATTTGAACTCAATGATGTTATTGCTTTTTTCCGAGTAATCCAAATATAAACTTTTAAATGGGAGTGGACGGCGAGGAGATGGAAGTTGATCTTTTGATTGTGGACGAGGTAGTGAAGGTGGACATTGTGAGGGCATATTTGCACTTTCCATATTGCCTGTGTTCACACTTTGATTTCTAAACGCTTGTCTGGAACGTCCTTTACGTGTATTAATATATGATGTCCCTTGAAATGAATTAGAGTGGCTGTCAGCACTAAACTCATAACTGTCTTCTGTTTGTAAAGGAACAGACGTGTCTATATTAAGAAGTTTTGTTATTTTACAGATTTGCAATGCTCTATCCACAACAGTACAATACACGCAGGCCTTACAACGGTTATTTAATACTTTCGGTAGGCAATTCAATATGTCACTAAAGGTGTTAAAACGACTGGATATACACTGAGAAGCGCTCGTACTAGATATTTCAGACTTATTACTGTTTCTTTGACGGCCTGCAACTGTTTGAAGCCGTGATGATTGTTTCCGCTTTGGAGGCTGAGGAACTTTAAATCGATTTGCAACTTGTTTTCGCTTTAATGCGTTGTTAATCCCGGTATTATCAACATTTTGTTCTCCCTCAGTACTGATCCAATCTACGCTATCTTCTACAATTTCGATATCTCCGTTGCCGCCTTGACCAGTTGGTAGTTCAAGACTTACTTCATTGGCTGTAAGTTATACTAGCATAAATGATCAAGTATTTAAAATATTAAAAGAGATCACACATTACAATAAAACATTAAGAACAAGAAAGTTGATAGAAGCATTTGGTTCGAAACGAAGTTTTCGGGCAAAATTAAATCAATATCCATTATTGTGAAGATTCTAAATGTCATTATTTTTGTTTTAGTTTGATGATTCGGCATAATGTATATTATATTTTATAAAAAATAATAATATTTACCGGTTGCTAATTAATCTAACATTAAAAGGCAAGTTGAAAGATTATTATTAAACTAGTCTCATGGAGCACAGCAAATCCGGGAGGTCTAAAATATTTACGGAATATTAAAAACAAGAGGAAGCTCAAAGAGAGCAGGGCATATATGCCACAAATAAGCGCAGTACTGACTAATTGACTGCCATTTGTAGGCTTCTATTGTCACGAGCTGACGTATCGCTACTTAATAAATATAGGGGTAAATATGCCGTATTTTGCAATGTAAGAATGAAAAAATTAAAACATAGGAATAACGGGGAACTTATAAATGAATTAAAGCAATCAATATAATAATACAATTTATATTCATTAATGCCATTTCCAATAGAATTACTAGTTCTATGTCTATTCTTCAATAACGATCAAGCATCGATAGGCTGGATAACATCATGTAGTTGTAAAAATAGCAGGTAATGTGCGGCAAAGTTAACTTAAAGCCGATCATCATTATGTCTATAGTAGCAAAAACTATAATTTCTTAATTAATACCAAATTACAATTTCTTCGTCAATCTTCGAATTAATTTGGATAACGCTCTCTATTTAAACGATTGTTGAAGCGCCTGCGCCTTCTTTCTGAGCAACGAGTTAAGCAACGTACTCTTAGTAATTGCGCTAGTACATAACGTTAATTTTAAACAGGTTCTTTGTCTTTGCAATATTTTATTACCCGCTCAGCTGATGTAAGATCAATACAATTGTACAAGACCACATTCAAGTTGCATTATTTTAAAATTTCTGTAAACTTCCGAACATGGTCCTGGATCGTCGCCGGATATAAAATATTAAGAACCAGAATTTATATTATGGTAAATTTAGTGGGGTTTATGTTTGAATCAAATTTGGAGTTACGTCGGCGCTATCAATGAATGTGGGTCAATTTGCAGTAATTACGTGGCGTTTAAGATAAAATTTAAGATTTATCATCACCCAAAACTCTATTAAGGTAATCTAATAGTATTTGGTATAAATCACCGGACTTATAAGGTTAGTGAATTTATTGTTCCTATCGATTATTAATTACCTACTGCGTTGTGGTTAAAATTCGCAAATTCTTTGACAATTTGCAGTAATTAAGGGGCTACTCCATGCGAGCGACCTTGAGCATTTGGTGTGCCGCGCCGACTCGCTACAATATAATATCGCGTAAGAAATATGTAAGACGCCACCAACTGTAAGAACGTAGTATTTTTTCAACATCAATAAACTATTTTATGGGAATACACACAGCATACAACGATAAATGTATTTAATTTTTTTTATTCAGTATGTTAGTTGCATTATATTAGAATTATGTATTCTCATATATTATCTAATTATGAAATTTTATAATTAATTATATATTAAAAATGAAGCATTGAAAATTGTGAGTTTAAAAGATACCTACTCACTATAGGTAAATAGATAGATAGCTCGACTTTTGTACAAATATTTGGTGCAATAAAGAATAAATAAATAAATAGGATGTTTCACAGAGTGAGAGTAATATAGAATGAGAGTCGTGGAGGCAGTTTACAAACATAAATTGCACAAGGACAAACATCCAGACCCGGAACAATTATTTGTAAGCCATACAAATACTTGTTCCGTGCGGGATTCGAACCCGCGGCCCCCAGCGCAGCAACTGATTGCTAAGCCACTGCGCCACGGAGCCGTTGCCGGGTTATAGCTAAAGTGACCATACGTCCCGTTTTGAACGGAACTATCCCTTTTCTCGGTCACCTGTCCCATTGTCCCCAAACAAAGCTCCGGGACACAAAATTGTCCCGTAACTCGTTGGATGGAAGTATTCAAAGTCAAACAATCTTCAACATATTTTTTTTAATCGAATATATTTTATGTCTCCCTGGTACAAATGCTCCAGTAGAAAGAGTATTTTTTTATTTTGAATAAATTGTGGACGTCTGAAAGAAACACTTACGGTTCCAGTTCTAAAGGCGATGTTGTTAACAAAGGTAACAATAAAAAAACTTAAGCAGAATTTTATTCTTATTTAAAATCATCACCAACTTTATTAAAGCAAATTTAATCCACTGACAAATGTAATTAATAATTAAAAAAAATATGTTGCATTTAAAAATTACCGCCTATACCGAATATAATTTTATATTGAACACTAATTGTGTAAAGTTATAGTTTTTAGAGTATAAATAAACCCATGTCCTGTTTTGAGTAAAAAAATAAATGGTCAGTTTAGTGTTTTTAGTTAAATTTAGTTTAAAAAAAAATTAGTTTCTAGTAAAAAGTAGGTATATTAATGCCTACTTAGATACTTTTTACCGAATTAGGGTGGAAGCCCCTAATACCAGTCATGCCCCTAATTCCAGTCTTTTCGCCTTTTTACTCCATAAATAAGATTTCTAGTAGTCTTAACTACAAATATTTTCATCTAAAAAATTCTTTGTACCTAGAGGGAACTATATTTATTCAAATATTACCTCGCAGTTTTAAACCTAACAGTGTTAAAATCAAAACAGGTACGCAACGAAAAACGATCATTTTCCTAATTATTTGACAAGTTATGATCCCGGTAAAATTATGCTTACTTTACATTATCTCATATATAGGCTTTTTGATTTGTATGAATATGACTATAGACATAGTAATGCATTTATTTTTGTTTGAATTTACAAGTTATTTATTTTCTTTTAGTGGAAATTAATGGGGCTGTAATTAGATAATATAAGAAATGTATGGAGTGCATAATGTCAGCCGCCCGGCTGTTATTTGGTTTGACGTACCTAATAAGAAGTACCTAATTTCAGCCACGTAATATAAATCAGGGCTGCCATAAACTGGAATAAATACCATTAATTAGATCATAACTTATTTTATAGCTAAGGGAGTTATGATCAATTCGTCTGTTTTAAAATTGGTTTTAGATTTTAAAGTTTAGCAGAAGATGTACTAGTTTTTCTCTCTGACATTCGGCGTATAGAACACCTTATGTACTCAATTATTTTTTGAAAAAGAAGAAAAAAACAAGCAATAAATAATATACTATATTTTAGCAAAAAACTATAACTTAGTAATACTAATTATAATTATAACTTATGTTCTACATAAATGAAAAACTTATAACTGACTTTTTGGCCCGACCCGGGATTCGAACCCGAGACCTCATTATCAGCAGTCGCACTACTACAACCACTAGACCAACGAGGCGGTACTATACCTAATAAGATATTGTGGTTGGGTATTAGAATTATTTTTAACTGTATACTATACTGATAATATTGAATTAGCCTTTTATAGTGTAAATTATAATATTTGTCGAAATGTTAATTATGGATTCGAACCTTACATGCTAATGGTGCTTCATTTTTTTATTTGCATTTACTTCAAAGAAAATACACGCAAAAAGCTTCATCGCGCAGTAAAAAACACAACAAATATATGTATAACTAATATGAAAAATTATACCCAAAACAAACAAATAATACTACCTATAAATAACCTAATAAGTAATAATATTATCGACTGATAAGATGACGTGAGCGTGTGCGCTGGCAGACGCTCTAACGATACGGGTTCCACGTATAAGAGCTCAGGGCTCACTGACTCCAGCAAGCCCGTGGACAGTGAATACGCCCAGATTTTAAAACTATTTATTAATAAAATCAAATTTTGGTCTTTTGAAAAAAAATTTAATATAGAAATGTTCATTAATAAATCGCCTATCCATTGGTGTAAATCGCAAAATAAAATAATACTTACTTTACGAGGAGATGCATGTTATCAATAATAATTTCACATTTATGTGGTTTCGTTGTAAGGAGATTATATTAATATTTATTCCTTTAAAAAATTGGATATAGCTTTTATGGAATCAAGATTATGTAGAAATATAATGTGTTTTTTATTTGTCGATATACACTCGGCGTCAAAAAAATCGCACATCCGAAAAAAATAATTTAAATACTATTTTAACACAACAGGCCAATGGCAATGTTGTGGTTTGAGGGTATCATTCGAAAGGTAATTTCATTAGCTTTCAGGAATTTTAATTGAATTTTACTTTTATAACGAGACGAAAGAGAAATTAAAGAAAAAGACAGGGTATGTACAAATTTGCAAATTAATAATTTAAAAAAAAACTTAATAAATACAAAAAAAGTTCTTAAAACCTAGTGTTATCCCCCCTTGCCTTGATAACGGCTTCCATGCGATCTTTCATGGATTTTACAAGGGTCGCAACAGCCTCTTGGGGTATTTGTTCCCACTCTTCAAGAGCTCCAAGATGCGGTACGGTACGGTTGGAGCTGGATCTCGAGCTCGCACGCGCCGTTTTAGGTCATCCCAGAGATGTTCTATTGGGTTAAGGTCTGGACTTCGTGCTGGCCAATGCATAACAGGGATATCGACCTCCTGTAAATAATCCCGTACAATAGCCGCGGTGTGGCAACGAGCATTATCATGCATTAACATGAATCCATCACCGACATAACCAGCATACGGGATCACATTTTCCTCCAGGATTTCAGTAATGTACCAACCAGCATTTAATGACCCTTGCCCACGGCCACCCCGAGTCCGGGAAACGCACACAAGTTCCGTTTTCCCGTCGACGGAAATGCCGCCCCAAAACATACTCGAGCCACCCCCGTATGCGACGGATTCTTCGAAGCAGGGTTGTGTGAACCTCTCCCCCTGTCTTCTGTAGACCCTTTTACGTCTGTCATTGCAGAAGAGACAGACCCTCGTCTCATCAGAGAAGAGTACGGTCCGC